CTGAGCCTGGAGGTGGTGGCGGGCGCCCCGGCGGCGCGGGACCCGGGCTCGCTGGCGCGGTGGCTGTGCGGGGCGCTGGTGGTGCGGGGGGTGGCCGCCGTCCTGGCGCTGCCCCGCTCCCGCCGGGAGCTGCTGCAGCTCGACTTCCTCGCCGCCGCCCTCCAGATCCCCTTCCTCAGCCTCCTCGACACCCGCGGGCCGCTGCCCTTCCGAGCGCAGGTAAGACTCGCACCGCCCCCCGCAACCGCCACCCGCACCGCCGCCGGGACGCTCGGACGCGGCTGCGGGCACCGGGGCCGCCGGGACGCAGCGCTCCGTCCCTGCTCGGCGTGCCGGATCCATCCTTCCCCCGTCCTTGCTCCCGTCCCGGCTCCATCCCTGCTCCTGTCCCGGTCCTTATCCCAGCTCCGATCCCGGTTCTATCCCGGGAGACCCCTCCCGGTTCAGTCCCGGCTCCGTCCCGACTCCTGTCCCGACCCCCATCCCGGCTCCAATCCTGACTCTGTTTCAGCCCCTCATCCTCTCTGCATCCCGGCTCCTTCCCGGCTCCATCCCGACTCACATCTCGTCCCCATCCCACCCCCATTCCCACTTCCATCCCGGCTCTTTCCTGACCCCCATCCTGGGTCTATCCCAGCTTCATCCCGGGCCCCATCCTGGCTCTATCCTGGCCCCCATCACAGCTCTATCCAGCCCCCTCCTGGCTCCCATTCCAGCCCCATCCTGGCCCTGTCCCAGGCTCTATCCTGGCTCCATCCCAGCTCCATCCCAGCCCCCATCTCTTCTCTCCTGGCCCCCTGCCCAGCTCCATCCCAGCCCCATCCCAGTTCCCACTCCAAGGCAACTTCCCCGGCTCCTCCAGCAGCCCCACACCCCGCCAGCCCCAGTCCGACCCCAGAAGGGCTTTGGGGACATGCCCTGGTGCTGCATCCCCGCAGTCCCCTGTGCTGCCCGATGCCACGTTTCACAGCCCAAACCCTGCCAAGCCGAGACCTGTCCCAGCCCCGTGTCCTTGGGGTGGGTTTGTCCCTCTCCTGTCCCTCAGCCGGTCCCCGCTGGGGACACACCACCTCCGCAGGGGGCCGTACCGCCTTTGGGCCCCTCCACGTGTGCGCTGACCCCGGGCTGTGCCTGGGCAGAGGTGACCCCTCTCCCGGCACGTGGCAGGACCACACCGGGCCCTGTCCCCCGGCCTGTCCCCGGGGATGCCCGGGCAGGCGGCGGACGCCCGCAGGCTGCGCTGCCCTCCATGTCTGCTCAGCTGCTGCCTGGAGAGCGGCGCGTCCTTGGAGCGTGCCGTGCTGGCTGCAGGAGCTGGGGAGGTGTGAGACCCTCCTGTGTGTGGGCAGGGGGATGCACGACCCCCTGTGCAGGTGGTGATGAACCCTCTCACCCAGTCGAGGGTTCCATGGGGGGTCTCCTCCCTGGGCTCTCCCTCTGGTCCCTGGTCTCATGGGTGGGGGGAACCATCTCCCCAGGTTGGGAGGGGGCTGGAAGCAGGCAGGGAGCAGGCAGGGGGCTTGGGGGGGATCTCTGGGGTGGGAGGGACCCTGCCTGCTGCTGCCTTCGGGCTCTTCCCACGGGCAGGAGCAGGGCAGGGGGACAGCCACAACCCCTGTGTGTCGGCAGAGCCCTTTCCACTTCCACATGGAGCGGCAGAGCTCGCTGGAGACGCTGGTGGACGTGCTGGTGAGCGTCCTGCAGGCCAACGACTGGCAGGAGACCAACCTGGTGCTCTGCCACCCCTGGGACGTCTCCGGCTTCCTCGGCCTCTGGGCCCGACGCTCCCGGCTCTTCCTCCGCACCGTCCTGGACCTCGGCTACCTGGACGAGCCTGGGGCCACCAGCTACCTCCGGCAGCACGGGGAGCACTTCAGGGCCCTCTCCAGCCCCGTGCTGGTGCTTGGCTGCGACCTGCGGCGCGCTCGGCTCATCTTCCAGGTGGCCGAGGAGTCGGGGCTGCTGCCGCAGGAGTTCCATTGGATGCTGGGCTCCCCGCTCAGTGCTGGAGAGCTGCAGACCGAGGGGCTGCCCCTGGGGCTACTGGCCTACGGGGAGGTCAGCCGGCCACCACTGGAGCTCTTCATCCAGGACGCGGTGGAGCTGGTGTCCCGGGCCATCGGCAGCGCCGCCCGCGTCCGCCCCGACCTGGCTCTGCTGCAGACGATGGTGAACTGCAACGACAGGCACCGGGCGGGCAGTGAGTCCTCGGGGCTCTTCCTCTCCCGGTAAGGAAGGTGCTGCGGGTACCCCTTTCCCCCTCCCGGCTCTATAGTACCAGGGTACAAGGGGGGCTGTGCCCCAGCCCGGGGATGGGGTGAGGATAGAGCTGGGGGACACCAGGGCACAGATCTCAGTGCGGTCCCTGAAGTGTAGCTGCCACCGTGGGGCTCAGATCCCCCCTGGTCCCTGCTGTCCCCTCGGACGTGCCTTGTGGCGGCTGCACAGAGAGGGGGGACATGTCACTTCAGATCTCCCTGGTGCTGCCTGAGCTCGGTTGCTCTATAAATATTAATAACGCTTGGCCCTGCCAGCACAGGGAGCCACGGGGCCGCGTCCTGCTGCTCCTCCCTGCCCTTCTCTCTGCCCGAGTTGGCACCTCCTGCTCCCGGCCCCAAGCCCTGTTCTGCGGTGCAGGAGCTGGTGACACTGGAGCCGTGACACCCACCGCCCCCCGTTCCCCCCAGGTTCATGGCCAACACGTCCTTCCACGGCCGGACAGGGACCGTGCGGGTGGAGAACGCGACGCTGGTGCGGCCGGAGCAGCAGTTCCACATCTGGAGCCTGCGGCGGGACTCGCGGGGGGACCCCACCTGGGTGACGGTGGGCACCTGGTGGCACGGCCACCTGGAGCTGGAGGAGGGTGCGTGGCAGAGCCAGCGGCAGCGGGCCAGCCCCGGCGAGGGGCCCCGCATGAAGCTGCGGGTGGTGACGCTGGTGGAGCACCCCTTCGTCTTCACCCGGGAGGCGGACGAGGACGGGAGCTGCCCGGCCGGACAGCTCTGCCTGGACCCCGGCACCAACGACTCGGCCGTGCTGGACGCCCTCTTCGAGGAGCTGGGTGCTGAGAACGGCTCGGTGCCGCGGGAGTACAAGAAGTGCTGCTACGGGTACTGCATCGACCTGCTGGAGAAGCTGGCCGAGGACATGCCCTTTGACTTTGAGCTCTACATCGTGGGTGACGGGAAATACGGGGCGTGGAAGAACGGGCGCTGGACGGGGCTGGTGGGGGACCTGCTCAGCGGCACGGCCCACATGGCCGTCACCTCCTTCAGCATCAACTCGGCGCGGAGCAAAGTCATTGACTTCACCAGCCCCTTCTTCTCCACCAGCCTGGGCATCCTGGTGAGGACGAAGGACACAGCGTCGCCCATCGGGGCCTTCATGTGGCCCTTGCACTGGACCATGTGGGTGGGAATCTTCGTGGCCCTGCACATGACGGCACTCTTCCTCACCCTCTACGAGTGGAAGAGCCCCTACGGCATGACCCCCCACGGCCGCAACCGCATGAAGATCTTCTCCTACTCCTCAGCCCTCAACCTCTGCTACGCCATCCTCTTTGGGCGCACCGTCTCCAGCAAGACGCCCAAGTGCTGCACTGGCCGCTTCCTCATGAACCTCTGGGCCATCTTCTGCCTCCTGGTGCTCTCCAGCTACACGGCCAACCTGGCGGCCGTCATGGTGGGGGACAAGACCTTCGAGGAGCTCTCAGGCATCCATGACCCAAAGGTAGGAGAGCATTTGTTGCGTCCCCATGGGCCGCCCAGCACCCCCCTTGCCCAGGGCTGTGTGTGCTCAGGGCTTGGGGACGTGTCCCCAGGGAGGGGGGGGCCATTCCCACCGGGACTGATGCTCCGGTGCCTCCTTCCAGCTGCATCACCCCTCGCAGGGCTTCCGCTTCGGCACGGTGTGGGAGAGCAGCGCCGAGGAGTACATCAAGAAGAGCTTCCCCGAGATGCACGAGTACATGCGGCGCTACAACGTCCCCACCACCCCCGCCGGCGTCACCATGC